ATCATGGTGTTGTGGGCATTAGCTGAGGAAAGTATATGCGCTGGGCTCTTTAAAATCTTGGAAGGACCCTGCAGACACCAGGTATTAATTATGCAGAGTCTCTGGGCAGGGGTTGACTTCAGCAGTTTCCAAGTGAAAAACAGAAGGCTGCCGTGATTTTAGGTCATCAGCCGGATGGGGAGGCCTTCTCTTCAGCCCTTTATTCTCAGGACTCCTTTCTTCCCTCCCTTTCGTCCACAGGACAATGTGTTTCTGAAGGATGCGTCCCTAACATGATACTTTATCAGAGAACGGGAATTAAGTCAAGACCAGCCGGCTGACTTCTCAGCACCAGTGCTCAGCAGGTTCTTTGTGGAGAGAGGCTGTTTCTGGAGGGGCCTTTCTGGGCACCCCTAAATGAATGACACAGCATGCAGCCTATGAGTGCTCTAGACCTTATTCTCTCTGTTTACTGCTCCTCTATTGAGTGGGAACTGACGACATCCTTTTGCACACTCTTTATTTCAATTAACACTTCACATCCTCCATCCTTATTTTTCTTAGGACATCCAAGCACTGGCTTTCTCTCATCCCAGAAGCTCAGGGAGCACTAGAGGGCCCACTGAAGGCAGCAGACATCTGTCCTTGATTAAGGAGGAAGGCAAATGGTGGTGAGAGTTGTGGACACTGTTGAGATCCACACGCATTTTAAACTCTATTGAAAATAGAAGGGCTTTGTCCAGTGTTGGGGGTTTTGGCTTAATCCTGAGTAGATGGTGCAACCGACTCACTGCCATTGAGATAGATGGAGCTCCTAATACTCAGTGTCATGGAAACGTATTGTTGGGTGAGACTGTCAAATCATCCCGTGCAACAGCTTGGGAAGTGCCTTCTTTCCATACACACGTGGCGAAATGTCCCTCTAATTCCAGGGTCCATGGTAATGAAGGCCTGGTCCTCATTCTCCAGGAGGAAGGGATAGATACGTGCATTCATTTCTTCCTTCATTTATTTATTCAGTAAATACTCATTTGACACTTACCTATGTAATAGGTATTGTGTAAGATAAAATAAAAAAATGTGGATCCCCTATGTTTTTGGAGCTAATCATCAAATAAGGGGGATAGACCTTTCTAATATTAACACACACACACACACACACACACACACACACACAAAATGACAAACTCTGGTAAATATATGTAAAACAGGAAGCCTCGTATAGTCATAGGATCAGAAAAAGTCCTTAGGAAATGACATTTGGATTAAAATATGAAAATGAGTGAAAGGCAACTAGCTGAAATATTGAGGATCAGGAAATGTGTTCATGGGAGGGAACAACCTGGGAGTGGGCTCGGGAGTCAGGAGGAAATGAGAGAAGATCAGTTTTCCCGCAGTTTAGAGAGGAAGAAGATAACAAAAAGTAAGATAAGTCTAGAAAAGACTTAGGAGCTATACTAAAAATGTTGGTGGATATCTCAGGAACAGTGGGATACCATTGAAGATTGGTAAGTAAGGGGGTGTGAAATCATATTTGCAACTTGAGATGAGATCCCTGTCTCTAGTATAGAGTACAGATCAGAAAGAGCAAAGGTGGAAATATATTATTTGTAGAAGACTTTTAATGTGGCTCAAGTCAGTGGTGTTGATGGTTGGACTAAGGTAGAGATCAATGGCCACACATAGAGGCTACCCAACTGAAAAGAATAAATACAACAAAAAATGGTAAGAGCTGCAATAAAGGTGAGCACCCAAGTTCTCAAAGGTACAGCAAGGAGTGGGGAAGGCAGTTGAGGAAATCAAAGCTGAAGGAGTAGTGATCTGAACATCACATAACCAGGAGATCATCTTCTGCTCTGATCATTCTGTTCACCTGCCTCCCAGCCCCCTGTGAAATCTAACCACAACTCTGTTGTTCACTGCCCTTCCCACTCCAGCCCTTGCATGAAGTGTTTCCTGTCTATTATGTAAAAAAAAAAAGAATCCACATTTTCTCAAGGCCCTTGAGTGGCACTCAGAGTCCTGACCTCCAAAGTCTAAAACAGCTTTGTTTCAACTCCTTGGTTCATCCAGGCCTCAGGCACCAGTCTGAGAAAATAAAGAGAATCAACTCAGTCATGGGGTCTGCCTATGAAGACAGAGCGTTTGTTGGGGCAAACCTCTCAGATCACAGAACAGAAAGCAAGGACTGAGGAACAAGTTTCAAGCATTTCCCTGGGCAACACAGACTGACCTCATCCAACCATTACTCAAAAGGCACCGAAACTGCCAGGTACCAGGCAATAAGCTTTGGACATGCATTGTGGAATCTTATTAAATTTCTCTATGATGTAGGTATTATTAACCTTGTTTTTGTTTTGTTTTGTTTTGTTCTGTTTTACCAATAGGGAAAAAGTGAGCATTTCTCCCTTTCTCCCATCATATCATAAAATCTGTAAAAGCATGGATGTGACCCATATATTCATCCCAGAGTAATATCTCTAGCACAAAATAGGTGCTCAATTTCTAATTGTTTTTTGAAAGTTTGAATGAGGATAGGTCAGTTAAATTAATTACTCAAGACCATAGAGTTTTTAAGTGACCAAATCCCCACAGTTCTCTTCCCCATTGTATTACACTGTCTCATATTAGAAGCAAAACATGATTTAATGTAGTATCTGTTTACAACCCTCAGTTTACTGACATGAAATTGAGACCCAGGAAGGAAGTGATTAATCAAGGTGTACCAGGATATTAATACCAGGTACGGCCTGAGAATCCAGGTCTCCTTGCTCCAGTCTCTCTGCCCTTCCTCCCACCTACTTTCTAAGCAAAGATGGAGGAGGCTGGGTCACCAGTGTGAGGACCAAGGCAAAAGTCCCAAAGTCAGACAAACTCAAGCTACAATGTTAGGAAAGCTATCTCTTAAGACTCAAGTTTCTCATCTGTACAATGGAGTTTATTAATAAGACTTTATATCCAATAAATCTAGTGTGAAGATTCTGTGAGATATTCCATGTAAGTTGAGACAATGTCTCATCTATAGAAAATACTCAATAAATGTTAGTGGTTTTTCATTTACAGTTAAAATGTTGTAAGGTACTTTTCTAAGTCTTGGTTTTCTCATATACAAATGGAGAGAATAATAATATCTACATTACAATTGTTTTTTTTATAATTAAATGATATCATAGTTCTTAAAATGGTACCTGACAAGACTTAATGAGAGCATAATGTTTAAAATTGTATTATTATTATTATTTATCATATTTCTTTTGGCATTTGATATGTTAGAATGAATGAGTAATGGACTGAGTGACCTGTACCAGAGACTTTCTGGGTTGGAATGGGAATGTGGGGAAGGGATGGGCATTATTAGGCTCTCACCAGCCAGATCTCCATCATCCAAACAGAAACACTTACTCTTTTTGGGTCTTGAACTGACTGCCTTTGGACAGGGACTACACCTTCAGGTCACCTAGGTCTCCAGTTTGCCAACACACCCTGCAGGTCATGGGACTTGTCATTCTCCATAATCACATTAGCCATTTCTTTTAATGTGTATATGTTCACACACTGTTGGTTCTATTTCTCTTCTAGAGCATCATGACTAATACATATAATCCTTATAGCAAGTCTATGAGGTAGGCATTCTTATTTTCATTTCACAGTTGAAGACATTGCTTCACCAAGGGCCTGGTGCATCCGTGGGGAGCAGGGGAAGTCTTTGCAGTGAGAATGGCTAGATATTTAGGTTTCATTCTCGTTGCCCTTGCTTTTGTTTTTAGTTTAGAGAACTAGGGGGGGAAAGCTCCTGCCCAGTAGTCCTCACTATAAAGTTAATCCAAACGAGTAGGAGTGTTTCTGCCTGTGAGGGACAGAGTACAGTCTCTTTAATCAGATCTGCTTCTTAATGTCCTAATGGGCAGACTATCTGGGATCATTAATGTCCGTGATGTAGTTTATGTTCATGTTAACAGAGGCCAAATGTGAGTGCATTTTTAACAAACCCAATCAACAAATATAATCACATCCACTCTAGAAATGTCCCAGCCATTATCCTGTTAAGAAGCCATAAAAGAGAATGTCATGCCTCATCTAGTCAGAACGTGGAAATGTGGGCCGCTGTGTCTTCAGGAAGTTCATGACTAGCAATGAAATCTTCTCTCATCAAAAAATGCCGCAAAAAAAAGGTCACTTTAACTTTTTGGGAGTTGAAATATAAATGCAGACACACATTTTTCTGCTTTTGTGGGAATGAGGAAGGCATTAATGTAACAACTTGCTCCTTAAAGAGAAAAGAATCTACAAGGAAAGAGGAATTCCTCATGTGAGGGTGTAAGCTGATGATGGCTTTTCCAAATACCACAAAGGCTGGAAACACATTTTACAGCCAAAGTTCTATCAAAGATCAAGGTGATTTGGCTGAGAGGAACTGTCTTCATTTTCAAATTCCACAAATAATATTTATATCATTTGGGATATGAAAGCCAAAAGCTAAAGTATCTGATGGTTTTTGGAAAAAATATATTTGGCTCTTTGAAGTCAGAATGCCCCAGAAAATATTGGATAAGAAATCATTCCACTGGGCATGGTCAACTAACAATTTTGATAATGCAGGTTCAACTCACCAATCACAATTTAAAATCCAATGGCTCTGAAAACAGAGTATTTTTGTAATTTGATGCAGTCTCATTTGATCACCATATCTGACCTGAATTAACTTGAGGCTCTTTACAATATTTCTTACTTTCTTTTAGAGTGAATCTTTGTTTTTTGTTTTTGTTTTTACCATACAGAAAAATTAATATATTTGGTTACAGAGAGCTGCTTCAAATCCTCTGGACTAGTTAGAACACATGGCCAATATTAGAATTGTATTACCTTCCTAAAAATTCAAAATCTCTGAATTAAAAATAAAATCTGACCCTGCGGGCTTCATTTAAGGAACTGGGATCTTGAAACTGCATCTTTCATATATGCATATACTAGGGGTACTGGTTAATAAATGGCGGATTTTGTAATCAAAGAAAACACGATAATTTCAAGAGAAACATCAAAAGTGCTTTACTCAAAGTAATGTCCATCACTAGCTACACATTTCCCCCATCTTCCAGGTAATTTGTGGGTACCTGGAAGATGGAGTCAAGTCCCATGACCATTCACAAGGTCAATCAACCGTCCCAATAGAACTTCCCTTGTTTTGAGGCAAACTCTTCAGAGACCCAATTTTCTACTTCTTCATTACATTTTGAAGTGCTGCTCAGAAAGTGCATGTGCCATCAACTGGAACAAGTGGTAATCTGAAGGAGCAAGGTCTGGTGAAAATGGTGGGTGGGTTAATAATTCCCAGGCAAGCTCTTTTAACACGTCTTTAACTGGTTTTGAAGTGTGTGATGGTGTGTCATTATGAAGCAAAATTACTTCGCTGTGTCTTCTGGAACATTTTGGTTGTTTCATGATCAAAGCATGGTTCAAATTGATTATTTGTTGTTGGTAGGAATCAATATGAACAGTTTCACCTTCTTTTACAAACTCATAATACACCACACTTTCCTGATCCCACCAACACAGAGCATTGTCTTCTTTCCGAAATGATTTGGCCCTGCTGTTGATATTGATCATTGACCTGGATCAACCCACGATTTTGTGCATTTGGGATTCTTAAAATAAAGCCACTTTTCTTCGCCAGTCACAATTTGATGCAAAAAAGACTTTATTTCATGCTGTTGAAGCAACATTTTACTGATGACTTTTTGGTTTTCCATTTGTGTTTTGTTCAGTTGATGTAGCACCCATTTTCCTTCCTTTAAAATCTTTCCCATTGCTTGTAAACAATTGGAAATTGTTTGCTGAACAATGTTTAATCTTTCTGCAAGTTGTTTTTGAGTTTGACACACATCTTCATCCAATAATGTTTATAATTGTTGTTCTTCAAACTTTTTTGGTTGACCTGGACGTTCTTTGTCTTTCACATCGAAATCATCACTTTTAAAGTGTTTAAACCAGAATTCACAAATATCTTGAGATGGACCACGTTCACCATAAGCTTCCTGAAGTATACGATCACTTTCAGCAGCACTTTTCTTCAAAATAAAGTAATGAATTAAAACTTCCTGCAAGTACTCTTTTTTGTGGAGCACAAAATTTGACATTTTAATTTTTTTACTTATATTTTATTGATTTTTTTACAGAGAGGAAGGGAGAGAGATAGAGAGCTAGAAACATCGATGAGAGAGAAACATCGACCAGCTGCCTCCTGCACAGCCAAGATACATGCCAGAATCGAACCTGGGACCCTTCAGTCCGCAAGTTGATACTCTATCCACTGAGCCAAACCAGTTTCGGCAGAATTCGACATTTTTAAGTGTAAAAATATCTATGATGTTAACACCTTCTGAAAATTTGGCATATGAAGTTTTGAAGCTTGCTGTTAATACAACAAAATAGCATACGTATCAAATCGCATGTACCGTATACACCTAGCATGGTATAGTAGTAAGTTCAAGAAGTGGTTATTATTTTCTAGCCCAGCCAGCATGACTCAGTGGTTGAGCATTGACCTTTGAGCCAGGAAATCACAGTTCAATGTCTGGTCAGGGCACATGCCAAAATTGCAGGGCACATGCCAAAATTGACTCCCAGTAGGGGGTGTGTATGAGGCAGCTGATCAGTGGTTCTCATCATTTATATAAATGACTTAGAAGAATACTGACTTACATGGAAAGATACACATTGTCTTCTGTGAAACATTGAGAAAGGCAGGTTTTGTGATAGTATGTTTTATTATTTTGTTCTTCTAAATGTAAGGAGGAGGGAGATAGAGATTTGAAGGCAGTCACAGTTACACTTAAATCTCTGCTCTTTCACTTCATAGCTGATGAGATTGGCCCAAGTCATGTAGTCGTTCTGACCATCAGTTTCTTTGGCTGTAAAAGGAATGAAGAATAATAGTTGCCTCTTGGTGCTGCTCTGATGAAATGGTGTACTAAATGCATTTTTAGCCAATGGTTTACAACCAGGGCAGTTTTGACCCCCATGGTGAAGTTAGCCATGCCTGGAGACATTTCTGTTCGTGCTAGCTAGTGGTGGAGGTGTGCTATTAGCCTCTAATGGGGAGAAGTGGGTGCTGTTAAATGTCATATAATGCATAGGAAAATAGCATAACAAATACTTGTTTTAGTCTCAAATATCAATAGTGCTGAGGTTTAAAAACCAATTTGGATATAATCTGCACCAAATAAAAGTATATGAATGCTAATATTTATAAAATGCTTATTATGATGATATTTCTGTGGTGGAATTTATTGTGTGTTTGTGTGTGCGCGAGTGTGTGTGTTTTCATTGTACTTATCTTTATTTTGTATTATTCTCTGTATTAAATGCTGACTGCTTGAGTAATAAAAAATATGCCCAGCCAGCATGGCTCAATGGTTGAGCATCAACCTATGAACCAAGAGGTCACGGTTTGATTCCTGGTCAGGGCAGGTTTGATCCCCAATCTGGGGTGTGCAGCAGGCAGCCAATCAGTGATTGTCTCTCATCATTGATGTTTCTGTCTTTCTCTCCCTCTCTCTTTTTCACTGAAATAAAACAACAGCAACAACATATTTTAAAAATAAATAAATAAAGGCAACATTTCAAAATAATTTTCAATATCAATATTTAAAATGGCAATAACCATGGATAATATTACTGGAAGCTTCTCAAAGCAGAGATCAACTCTCATCTACATAGAGCAGGGCCTTGCATATATAAGAGGTTTTGACAGTCCCTGCTGAATTGAATTAAAATACACCAAGCAATAGTGCTAAGAATGGAGAGGAATTTTGCTTATATGACAAGACACACTTTTGCTAGCATCGAACAAAGTGGCGAGTCTAATTAGTAATCAGCGCCTTACAGACATGTAAATTATACTGTAAACATCCTGTCTGGAAATAGTTTGTCAGCCAAACATTTGTCTTCTATGTCATGCTTTCACCAGTGGTCACTCCCAGGTACCCACAATGCAATCATGCATGTGATCTTTAAAGGTTGCCTCATTTCAGTGTGCTTCGAAGATACTGCACTTCATACAATTAAAGATGAGACCCTCCACCAGCAAAGAGATTATAACTCATTGAAGGCTTAGATAATAATTAGCATTTTTAGCAATGAAGTATTTCTTAATTAAGGTATATACATATTTTAGACATAATGTTATTACACACTTAATAGAGTATAGAATAGTGTAGATATACATTTTATATGCAGTGGGGATACCAAAATATTCATGTGCCTTGCTTTAATGCAGTATTTGCTTTATTGTGCTGGTCTGGAACCGAAAATGCGATGTCTTTGAAGTGTGCCTGTAAAAAATGAAAATGTCTTTCTAGAATAAATATTGTATCTTGAAGGTAGAGAGCATTTCCTTTGTATTTATATTCCTTTATTCTACAATTTTTATTACTCTCTCTGGTTCAATAATATTGTCACATTTTCCTGCTGAATTATCTCTCTCTCAAGAATTCTCCAGGAAAATAGAATATTTGCTCTTATCCTGGAGAATTCTTGAGAAACAGTGTTCACATGTGAAAAACCTATGTGACATTGAACAGCACTTCTGAAGACCCACACCCTTATCTGTAAATGGAATTTATGCCATAGGACTGCTTTGATAATCAAATGAACGGTTTACATGAACGTTCCCTAACGTGCAATATATTCATTGTTGGTGCTCAATGACATGCAGTAGTGGGTTGCCCTTTGTCTTTCCAAAATGATGGTCATTTGGCAAAATGCTGCTGTTTCCTTGAGAATCAAGTGCTCTTTTGAGCATGTGCTGGGAAGGAACTGTGATCATGATTCAATGGAGGATACTGTGGTGTCATGGGTCTGCAGTGACCAGTTAGCAAAAGCCAGATTTTATTGTTATCCATCATTGTCTCTTATATTTTTAAAATATCCACTATTCCTTTGAAAATCAGAAAATACTATCAAAGCCACATTTAATGTCAGCTGAAATTTGCAAAAAAAGTTAAATGTAACAGCTAAGTTGGTGTTGAAGTGAAGCTCCTTTAAGACATTATCTTTTCAAACTCTCCTCCACCCTTACTCCAGAGATTGTTCTTTATGTGTTTCTCTTTCTGCATCATTGAGAATCATACTTTGAATAATGGAGAATACATAGGTGGTTCCAATGAATCTTTTTTGCCCAGTTTTCACAAGGTCAATCAAGCAGACCCTTCATGGTTCCATCACTGAATAATCAATCAAGTAAAAAACAATTGATCTGCTTCAAGCATGTCAGCAGCATATTGACCCACCCATTGAACTCTGCTCAAGTGCAATGAGAGTGATGAAAGCCATCACTGCATTGAGAAATGAGCAAATGAAGGACCCTCTGCAGACCTCTTCCTTCTCTCTTTTTTAATTATAGTGGTTGTTTTTATAAATTGATTGCAAGGCTGTTAACATATGAATCTGTATGTACCAGGGCCTAATGGAAATAGCTAGGTCAATATCTCCTTTTGGCCACTAGTTGTCTGCGTGAGTGTAAAGATACCTCTTCTCTCCAAAGAGAGCCTCTAATGTGATCATGAGGGAGAGAGCATTAGAGCCTTACTATTCAGCATATGTGTCAGTTTGGCTCAAATGGACTCAAAAATTCTAACAAAACAAAACAAAAAAAAGTCATTAGGTGGGTTAATAGTAAAGGCTTTGGAGTCTGAGGACAATGATATGTATCCCAGCCTTGTAGTGTCATTGCTGTGACAATTTGGGCAATTGACTTATTTTTCTTATGTCTTAGATTCCTTACCTGTAAAATTTTTATGAAAATAATAACTGCTTCATAAGACCTTGGGAAGTGAACACTTAAAACATAAAACACTTTTTTTAGAGCATCAGAACTGGAAATTAGTCAGTAAAAATTAGCTTTCCTATGTCTGTATTTTAAAATGCCTTTCATTATCTCTTTCTTAACTGTGTTTTCCAATCCTTTTATTTCTCATGTGCTGAGCAGCAACACTGGCTGAAACAGCCACTGCTGGTTGTCCACCAAAATCCAAACCCCAAGACTCTCCTAGTTATATAAAGCTTCCCAATATTGGCTGGGCACATGGTTTCTAAATTATAGACTGAAGTTCTAAGTCTCCCCTGTAGATGTATGTAGATGTAAGTGCTACCCAATTGGATATGAGAAGTGATATGGATAACTCCCAAGAAGTATTTGTAAGAGAAAGAGCTTGTGTTATTTTAT